CTTCCCTTAGAACAGCCCAACTTGCATCCCTGATTCTTATCTCCTGAAGGATTGTTTCCAATTCCCTTTGCAGGCTGGATCGGCAGCCTCCAGTGTGAGGGCTAGGAGAACCCCCCGTGAAGCTATCATACCGGGATCAAAATCTGGTTACTAGGTGGGGTCATGAGGAAATACTGTGATTCTGCTTTCTGACATACCCAAGTTCTGCAGGGCAGTTGCTTAGAATATGTAAAGCAAGATGATAGGTGAACTTTAATAGTTTATTCATATGGTGGTATTTCTGTGCTAAGTTCTAATACAGACTTCTCTGGAACAAAAAATTATTTCATAGCTCACAGAAAATATCGATTTCGTGTGATTGTTTGACAGACTTTTCCAGACTTAACTAAAGAGCCCTGCAAATGTTTTCTGTGGTTTCACACATTAAACTGTATGAAGGCTCCTGTGTTCTCCCTCTGAAAAGTAAACTTAAAAAAAAAAAAAAAAAAGTGGCCAGATTCAGCACTCTGGAAGTGCCATTTCTAGGTGGGCACTCTGAACATCTTTATGAGCATATACTAAAATAATGTTGTTGGTTTTTTTTTAATAGTCCCGTATTTATAAACTGAGATCACTAAAACAGGCTCCAGTAGGATTTGTAGATGTTGGATAACTTTAAAAATCAGCATGGTCCTTTAAATGCCTACAAGCGTGTTTGATCACTTTTGGCCACAAAGTAAGGTTTAAGTTTATTCACTTTCCTACTGTTACCTAACATAGAAATATTCCTTAAGTAATACCAATGGATACTACCTAACACAGAAGTGGCATTTTTACCTAACACAGAAATAGCATTTAGCCCTGTAATTTCTCTGCTGGCATTTGCGTATCCAGTGCCACCCTACATGATGCTTTAACTTATTTTCCCTTTTAGAGTTTGGGAGCCATTATAAAGTAGTTGTTAAGGATTGTTGTGAACAGCATTTGTACATGTAACAGTATCGAATAAATGATGTAATTTTAATTAGATACTTCAGTAATAGAGTAGGGTGCATAATATTTGCTAAGGCTTTGCTGTTATGTAGGATTCCAACTGTTGTAGACAAATGACTGAGTCTTGGGATCTCCTTGATATTTTTATGTTACCTCGAAACGTAATTAGCTGCATCCAAAAGCCTTATTACGTTTTTTGCTCAGTGTATTTTGACACAGAATTATTACTGTTTTCAAGAGTTTATTGTATTGTGAATGGTACAATAAGTATTTTCTTACTTAATCATTTCAGATCTTGTTGCTCTTGTTTAGGGCTTGTGAGGGCTTCTTGTGATTCTACTTTCTGACCTACCCAAGTTCAGCCGGCCAGTTGTGATTTGAGTGTTT